AATTGTCTGAAGTGCGATTCACGTAAGTTCAAGCTATCCAAATATCGTTGAAGTTACGTAGTCATTCGATCGAAGTTCTGTTCAAAATTGGTATCACGTATCACTTGAACCATCGTCGATATGAATAGAATCGAAACATAACGACTAATCAACGACATCTCAACGACGTCATAATCGACACACATAATGTTGCCAGTCACATTTTACAGTGTTCTACCAAATATTAAAACCTGGAAAATTATTGCGAAATGTATATTTTTTTGTATAATATTACATTTGTGTTATTTTTACTCATTAATATTATCTAAAAACTCTGGTTTCTTCAGTAAAAATAATAAAAAGCAGTTTAATAACCAATTGGATAAAATTTGCAACGTCATGCTGAATATTTTAGATTCAAACAGTCAATGCAATCCATTATAAAATAAATAACAACGTTAGTCATAGTCAGACGAAAAACTTTTGACATTCGTTTAAAAACATTATAACTCGTGCTGAGAAATTTATTAGTCAAATTTTGAGTAAAAAACACGCCTGTTCCTTAATTTGAGATTGGCGGAATCATCGATGGTATTGATGGAGCTATACAATTATACAGAAGAAGAAGAAGTTGTGCTGAAACTGAAATTTTCCTAAGTGCTGAGCTTATGGTAAATAAAAATATAATGATACCTAATTAACGGCCAAACATCTTAATAATGAACGGCCGCAGACGAAAAATTATAAAAAGATTTCCCTATAGGATTTATGTGTTCTAATGTAATCCCCTTTCAATCTCCGGGCGTTTACATGATTTAGTGCAGTTGTGGGAGTTCCTATATTGGGCAGACAAAACGCACCATAGCGGAAAGAGTTAAAGAACACATCGCGACTGTTAGGAACCGTCAGCTCAATAAGTCTGCAATAGCCGAGCATTTGCTGGAATCAGGACCAAGCCACTGGATTGAGCTTCATAATCCTAAGACCCTTTCTACAGAACATTATCACTATAGTAGAATCGTACGTGGAGCTATTGAAATTAAAAAACACCGTAATTTTAACCGAGAAAACAGTTTTAAGCTATCATCGTCATGGGATCCAGTTATCAGCAAATGTAAACGACATCAAGTATCGCCCGACAAGTCGCCGGATGTCGTGAGTGTTGTGTGTCGGTCTAGTGAGAACCCTAGTGCAGAAATAAAAAACGAAGATCAAGTGCGGGTAGTTAGAAAACCTCGCACGGCCAGAAAATACTGACACTCGCCTCTTCAGTCCCTTCGAGACCACTGACGTTGCAATATATCCGAAACGTCGAGGTAAATAAAATATGTCATATACGTGATTAAGTCCCGAATTAAAAATCAAATAAAAATTATTCTATTTAGAATCGATTAATTGAATGGAATACGCGGGTTTACGCGTGATAGACGAATAATTTTGATGCGTGATTTAAGTAATAATACCGGTATGCACTCAAGGCAATAAATTATGGGTTTTGATAATACGGTATTTCAAGAATAACTACTAAAACTAGTAAAAAGTAAGGATGTTGAAATTGGTTTAACAATGGGCCATAAAATAACAACATTTCAAAGTAAATAACAGTAGTAACATTTAAATCGCGTATATTTGTTTTTTCAAACAAACCCGGAAAAATAGTTTCATTTCCTATGTGTAACAATCGCGAAAACCTAAGAACTCGATAAATAACAGTAACTCTTAAAAAACTTACAAAACTAAATACCGTAACTATCCATAACAACTGTAGTATAATAATGGAGCCATGGTCCTGAAAATAATATCTAATAATATGTTATTCTTAATAACATATGTTATTAAGAAATGAACAAATTCTGAAATACCCTAAAATGATTACTTTAAGACAAAAAAAAATACAATTTGAGATTTTTTTATTTGACACCTACAAGTACAAAAATTGATTGCCCATAACAATAAAAAATTAACATATTACCGCCACATTAAAGGAAAAGAAAAACGCAAAATATCCCAAAAAAGGTCTTCTAAACAACTTTAATAAATTTAGTTTTAATAAAATTTTGTTCAAAAGAACTTTCCACTTAAATCAAGGATAACAAAAACAATATACGCCTACAAGATTTAATTTACGACTTGGCAAAGACGTTTTGACTTCTCGTATTTTCCGCAATCAGCTATCAGAATATTCTTACGAAAAGTTGAAAAACCTTTCTGCAATTCGGACACGGCTTCAATAAGGAAAGTTGTTTATTACTATGGGAATTACCCTTTGAAATTTAAGTAGAACTTTTATTTTTATTTTTACTCTCTGTAATATTATTATTAATATTAATACAAGTCCATCACTTCCGTAAAAGCAGGTAATATACTTTGCATACAAAAACTACAACAAGACTTGATAATTTAATATCATGCGGGGCTAGTTACTTAGATACCGGTATTTTCAGGTCATCAGGTTTTCACGACTGTATTTAGACAAAGGTCAAATTTATAATTGAATATACTGGTGTGCAGATAAATTAAATCCTTATTTTCAGAGGATTCCAGAAAATCCTTTTAAGAAACGAATTTGGAAAATATTAACTAAAACCCAAATTTCCCTAACTATTGAAATTGATGATCCCAAATTTAAGAAATTTTAGATGGATTATATTGCGATTTATGGTTATTAATTTAATTTTATTCTATAATTCCATACAAATGAATGGGATAGTTGACAGACGTTGATAAGTTTGTACAGGATTTCGAAAAAGGCAAACTTCTCAAAATTGTAGAACGAAAGTTGTTTTTTGTTAACAATAAAGGTGTTCATTTGTCAAGAGCTGTCGGGTTGATACAGACAATATTTATTAATAACAAAGATTGAACACTTAAAAAAATTCATTCGAATCAGAATTCAAGAAATTAAAAAAAATAATAATATCATGGTAGTGTACGATGTCTACATCGTGACATTCAATACATTGGTTTAGGTTTTAATCCATTTTTGCCCAAAATTGCCCATGATTTTGGATTTAACGGCGAATTGGATGAAACGGCGAGTATGGAATACGGAATAATTCCATACTTATTACAAATTTCGATGTAACAAATACATCTTTATAGACGAAAAAAAGGCAACTCCACAAACCCAACTCAAACTCGTATCTTATAAAGAGTGATTATTCAGGAGATGGCAAAACTTTCTATTTATTTTAAATTTCTTATCAAGGGTGTTAATTTAGATGCATTACTTTAAGAATATATAAAAGCCAGTGTGTGAATATGAAGGAAATGTGATGTGAAGTCAGCCTGCAACATTTGTATATACAAATCATTTTTTGCATTGCAGTAACTTTGTATTTTTGAGATACGAGTTTGAGAAAGTAAGGCGACATAATGTTGATCTTCGAGATGAGAAAGCAATAAATATTTTGTAATAATATCATTAAACTGGAACAAAACTCGATTTACAACAATATCAAATTCGAATTCGACCGGATCGAAGGAATTTTTTCTGAGTGTTTTTCTGAGTGTTCGATCTTTGTATTAATAATTATAACAAACTAGTGGAGTAATTTCACAAAAAATAATTGAATATCAATTCAATAAAAATTTAATTAACAATATCAATTTAAAAAATTTGCCCTCGATTTTGGACATTAATGGGTTTTAGGCACTTGACCATCTCTGCGCCCGGCAACCACATTAATTACTTGGTCATTAACAAGAAAATCCCGTGTACTATGAATACTAGAGCAACGAAAATTGAGCCGTGGTAGCCTAATGGTTTGACCTACCACCTCTCAAGCAGAAGGTCGCAGGTTCAAATCCGGGCTCGCACCTTGTTTATTGGAATTTATGCGCGAAATTTAATTCGAGATTTACTATGAGCTTTTTAGTGAAAGAAAAACATCGCGAGGAAACCTGTTCGTCGAAGAAGGTTCACAACCTTCGGAAAACGTGTAAAGTCTCCACTCAGCATTGGGTTAGCGTGGCGGAGACCCGTACCCAGCAGTGGGTTGATGATGGAAGTTCACGTGGCACTACCCAGAACCATTCAAAAAAGTTCGCTTCCCAAATCGATCTCACTGGGAATTGAACTCGGGCCCTCCTCATCTGTTACCCACATCTACCGCAGAGTCCCTGATGTCAATGGTTTTAGTAAGAGCTGTTGTTATGAAGGATAATAACGTTCTTATTTAGTTTATATACACTTCCAGACACATAATTCGCGTCACCACGCATTTTCAGTATTAAGTGCCCTAAGCTTAAACCATGTTTGATTGATCAAAACTATTATGCAATTTTGAAACTAGTATATTAAACGTCTTTTCCATAAGTCCGTGTCGGGAATTTGGATTTGCAAAACCGGAGGAAAACTTTTTCTTCGATGATTCTATTTTTGTATCCTGGCCCTTTGCGACAAAAATGCGGGGTGGCTCGAATTATGTATCCGGGAGTAAATTATAAATAGTATATCTACATATGTAACAATTCATTTATTAAACATTATGCACGTACAAATGTATCCAATTACAATCAAAAGCTGTTTCGCAATACCTTAATGTCATAATCAGGTCAATTGCCGACGTAAAAACGAATTCACTGCAACCACAGAATGTAACGAAGCGCGTTTTGTTAGTTAAAATCGAAATAGGTAAAAAATATAAACAACAATCACAATTGTTAGTACATGTTGTGTAAGCTGAAAGAGTATTATACCCTATCTATAACTAAATACTTCTTTTAAAAAAAAAAATATAAGTCGGTTTTGTAATGAAAATAATGTCAAAATAATGGTATTTATCTCGTTGGATTATTTCGATTTCGAGTTACATTCTTACATCAATATAATTTACATACGCCATCAATATCAAATAAAATTACTGACTGTACTAAAAAATCGCTGCTCGGCACCCCAAATGAGGATCGTCAGCAAAAAACGAACAAAGAACTCATTGTGGTGATGTCAGTGCTTCCCTTAGCATCAAAAATAACTAAATTATTTTACGACATGAATAATTTGTGATTTTTTTTAGTTTTTGTGATTAATACTCTGACCACCAGTGCAAACGTAAGTATGTAAGATAATAAAGGGATATTCACTACACTTGTGACAACAACATACTGAACGCAGTGCGGCGCGGTATTTTATGTAGAGTCCATACCGCAATCTGTATCGTTCACTTCACTTGTAAGATAAAATACATTTAAAAACGGATAGATATAGAAGGGTACAATCAGAGTTCTAAATTATTAGAAATTCACAATTTTGTATAAAGTTTGCAAACTTCTGTGCAAGTGCCCACGCACCCGACCCTTTTCATGTCAAGTTGAAAACTTTTAACTACTTTTGTTAAACATATAATAAATATATAAAATATAATACACGTATAAAGTAGCTCTTTTTCATTACTTTTTATAAAAGAACAAGTGCGCATTTGACCTCCATCTCACTTGATGGAAAGTAACGTTGAGGTCGAAGATGGAGCATGCACACACAAATAATAATAATTATAATTTATTTCAGACTTGTTTTGTCCATAAATGGTTAGTATATAGGTGATATTGACTAATGTTTGTCTGATCTTATGACTAGTGTAGTCATGTAATGAGTATTATATGACTGCGTGCAATCGCGACCAGTATGCGAGCTTAGGAGAATTATTTAGATTATTTCGATTTCGAGTCACATTCTTACATCAATGTAATTTACATACGCCATCAATATCAACTAATAATGCCTATTCGCTCTTGCCTTGAAAAGATCCAAGTTATAGCGTCCAGGGAATAAGTCTACAGGCAGGAAATTCTACTCCATAGCCATTGCTATATAAATATGGCAGAGTAACACTTCGTGTGAATCCTTGGAATATCCACAACATAGGAATGGAACTCCAGTCTACGTGTAGTCACAAAGAAAAGTAGTTTATATACCACTTTTCCTTGTCTATCATTTAATAATCGTGCAATTCCATATCGCATTTTTATTATTACCTACTTTTAAATCTTTTCCAATTATTCGTGAGTATACTAAAAGCTTTTCCAGAAACAATTTTGTCGAGAAAATAAAGAAATTAGAGTAAATTTACTCGGTTATCCCCAGCAGTTACATGAACACAACTCATTTTCATTTTAATAAGAAAGCCAAATCTGATTCAGTTTTTAAAGTAATTACGGGAGAAACAATTTGTAAATTGTATTTATTATGAGCGCGGAGATTAATAATAATACAAAATGGTATTCATAATCCATTTATTTGTGAAAATACAGGTTATACAGAAGCTGAAATGTAGAAAATATGTATAATTTCACTGTGTCCGGTCAAAGGTTAGACATACAAATATTATACATTGACTCACATGCACTTCGACGTAGTAAACTAGGTGTAACATGTTTATTTTTCAATAATATTATATGGGGCGTGCACACATGCATTTAAGAAGTAGTCAGTAATTTAAACGCGGTGATAGATATATGTCTCAATTTTAATGATAACAATTCAACGAAAATTGTATTATGAAATGTAAGTTAATAATTTTGAATAACGACAAAATAAATATACAAATGTCAAAAATTAGACAATGAATTTAAGTATTTGTTTATTTAAAAACTTATATACGTATAAGTCGTACATTTTATTAGTCAATAAGTTTTTTAATTGTTTTATAGCATAAATCTCACTTCCAATTTTCGTTAATTATTGTGAATTTTTGGCGCCATTACACAAACACTTTTCTGCAGAAAGGTACTTACTAGTCTTCGTTTCTATGTGCCTCTTCACTACTGGAGGTTGGCCAACCTTTGCCAACGGCCGTCAATATGGAAAATTTGTCCCTGTCTATGGTCAAAAGAACTGTTGTTCTACGCTGGTGACTCTCAAGGTAGTTTTTATAAGCTTTCAAACGAAGTTGATAATAACGTCTTGTTACTAACGTTGAGAAACGATAATAAAGATTGTGTACATTTTTTTTAAGAACTTTGATTGTTATTTGAAAACTGTTTAAGATTCTTAAGGTACTTCACGTATTATAACGCTACATATTTTAAAACAAAATGTAAAAGTGTTAATTTCCATTTTTGTGTTTCACCTATCGCCTCTCAAGCAAAGGTACTTTGGGTTCGAATCAGGTTTTGGTGAAGGAAAACGTTGTGTGCCAGCGTAGAGGACTTTGGCGTAAAACCCTCGCCTGAAAGGAGACCCTTGTCCAACAGTGGCTCGTATAAATGGGTTGATGATGTAATGTTCATTTCCACACTTTCGCCGGTATAACATAAACCTTTTATCGAATTATGGCTACATAATATATCATTTCGGCGAACCTACTTTTCTAGATGAGCATTTCCTTTTATTATCTCGTATGATAGGTTATTAATAAGCTCCATATTACCATTATGGGAAAAACAACATACTTTCCTCCACTCCTACTAGGTGCTGTTTACGCAAGTCAACTATATCATAGCTACATGTGTGTAGGTATGACAGAGAAAGTATCTATGTATCTACTTAGAAAGTATAGTGTACATAGTACATAAGAACTGGTGACTACTAATTGAGTATACTTACAGCATAAAAGTTGTTATTAATATAAACAAAGTAAACAATTTACATCTTCTTTTATATTTGCCTTCATTACAAATTAGTATATAAAAAACGGCTAAGAGCGTATGTAATGGCTTTATTACATTATGTTTCAACTTCATTTTGTTTGCAATAAGTAATATTTTTCAATTTGCAAATTTTTGTGAGCACCATGAAAATGTTTTTTCAAAAATATTCACTAAGATCTTTGCTTCAAAATACTTTATAATTATCATTGCAAGTATTAAGTGGAAGGAGTTTAAAAATACATAATATATTTTGTAATATATATAATGTCTTTAGATCATTAACATACACTTTCACATTAAATATAATGATAATAGGTGCGCAGAAAGGCATATAGACAGACAGAAATGGCGAAACTGTAGTTCGAATACGAAACTTTGAAAACGTGTTTATAGTATACAGTTACATTTAGTAGCAGTAGAGCTCCTTGTGAAAGAGTTCGTCCAGAGACGTACTGCCACCTTACCTATTTCTGATGCCAAGCGGCAATGCGGCAATCAATAATTAAGTAGTACCAATACGGTTCGTTGTGAAAGAGTTCGTCCAGGGTAGTACTGCGAACCTTTTTTTTTATCCACAACATAGGGGTGTAACCCAAGCCTACGTCTAGTCTCCCCGTGATGGAAAGGGGAAGACGGAATTAAGTCGTATAATTCCATTTCCGTCACCAAGCAGTGATGTGAGCATTGCTGTTTGCCGGTTATGAGTGGTAAGAGTGCTGGTGAAATTACTGGCACGTGGGACTTGTAAACTTGTGCATCAAAATGACGGGCGCAGTGGCACTGCCCCTCAGATCTTAATAGTTGATACGACCGATCGAGCCATTTCAGGCTTTGGTTGATTCTGCATAACAGTGAATGTGTTGAATCAACTACTTTGGAAAAAATATATAGTAAAATTAAGGATATGCACTGATTAGTATACGGTGTGAAAACACGGTTTCTAAAAGTTTTCAATATAGAAAAAAACTCAAAGTTACCTCGAAATTTTACAAGAAAACCGCTGTAATCAATACGTACATTTACATATACCAATGATTTTTTTTAATATCAATTGAACTAAATAGAACGCGTATAGTATAAGATTTACATTTTTCAAATGACTTTAACTTCGTAAAAAATAAATTCTGAAATAAAGCCAGTGCCCCTGCCACTCGATCCAAGCAAAATATACCGTATTAGTACGGGAAAAATTTTGAATTCGAGCTGAGGTAGTGTCGAGTCTTAACAATTTAAAGCTCTGAGTGGCACTGGCTGGTTAGCAGCCAATCAATTACTTAAAACAATAAATGGACGACGGGTCTAATACAAAAACCACGAAAAAAATGTCCCAAGTCAACCTATTCGAAATTTAAATTGTAATGTCATCGCAGTATCGCGCTGTCAGTAGAACAAATGAAGACTAAAGCGGAGTGTCGCGCTCTGTATACGATTTTAGCGCCTTACAAGTGCGGACACTTTTTAGCGCGGACCCGACGTCCATATAATTGTAAGTCAATGCTTAAAACATATTACTGTAATTATTTTTGTAGTATTTGTAATGGCTATAAATAAAGTTATTATTATTATTATTATTATTATTACTGTAACTGCTATGGACAGGTGTCGCTTACCACCAGGTGCACCCTTTGTTTGTCCCGTCACTTGGTATCATAAAAGAAAAATACTATTTTTCTTCTTCAGACAATGAACGAGAAACCAAAGTTAGATAAAATACCACAACTCGGCCTCCCTCCTATGGAGTTAGCTGAACCAATTGCGAATGGTAAATACACTTTTCTTCTTTTACTTGTACCTCGTGTAGTTTCTACCGAGGTATCATATTTGTTTTCCAGTTACCCTTAAGGTGCTGCCTTTTTATTCACAGAAAAATCAGTTCAACTGAAATAAACACTTTTAATAATTTTAGATCGAACATTGAACAAATGCACGAATCCCTTCGTACAAAGGTTGTTGGGCGGTGTTATTTTATTTCTAATTACTGCCGGATCATACATCTTGCTATTGACTTTATTGCAATATTTTGGTAAGTACATTTTCAGTACTTAAATTTGCTTTACTTCCATTGAAGTTAATAGAACCTGTTTAAAAATTCTTCAGTGGTCGTGACACGCAAGCGTCATTGTTTGCAGTCACAATTAGTGAACTAAAATCACAGTCGTATCACTACAGCGCTTCTACAAACGTGTAATTTGAAAGCACCATTAAACCGGAGATGTTACACATGTATAAGTACATAAAGTTTCCATATTACCCTATGATAAGATTATTGATATTATCTACATAAGAAATGAAGGTGGCTTAGAAGAAAATGATTACGAGTCCCGGAGAACCTATGTTATCAGGATCTGCTGATATGTAGAATCTCAAAAAAAAATTCTTTCAATATTTGCTGCATTTGTTGAATGAAATAATGAAAATCCGGTTCAATATTTCAGATAATACCCGCACTGAGATCATCATAGTCACAGCACCGCAAACGATATCAAATGTAACTGTCGATAAAGGTAATATCGAAATCCACGTTCAATCGAAAAACAAAACTACGCTTCCACTGAAGCGAGTAAAAAGAGATCTAGTTACGCTCTATGAAAACAGTGACAAAGGAAAATACAAGGAAATTTTAAATGGAAAACAAATGAACGAAGCTAGGGATATGCTAATGAAGTACAATGTATCTTGCAGTCAAGAGAATACTATTGAAATATGCAAAGATTTGGTTACGAAATTACAATCTATAGTTGACAATAACAAAGATTTTGATGACAATAAAGATAATTTATCGAATCCTAGAGGTATGGGAATTAATGCAAATAGAGACGTAGAAGAATTGTCGTCTACAGAAAAATCGAAAAGGCAAACACGGCCTTTGGAAAATATAGAAATGATAAGAGTTGTCCCAAATATGCCTTTTCACGGTAAGAAGAGTTATACGTATGAAAACTATCAACCAGGATCAGTACCTTCGGAGCCTCAACATTTACATACTTCACCGATTGCTGATTCGTGTCTATTAGCCCGTATTTTGAAACAGAATTACCCAAGTTCTCATAGTAAGTATTTTCATTTATGCTACCCGTAGGGCTAGCACGATTGGGCGTGACTACCGCGAGAGTGACATAAAACGCGAGAAACTTCTATTCTCGCTTAGATGTCACGCTTTCATTCGCTCTCGCGCTAGTCGCGGCTTGTTGTGCTAACCCTACTGATGAGTCCGACCCATCGTTACAATGATGTTAACATTTACACAGCTCATTTAGTGAATAAATACGACGGTATGTTACAATGATCTTTAATTATTATCTTAATAAAGTCTAAATGAATATCTTAATAAAATATTAAATAAAAAAAACCTTAATGACGAAAATTTTATATGCAATGCATTTTCGTAACAAAAAGGTGCTTCGTAATCATAAAAACAAACTTTTGAATTAGAAACTAAATATTCGTTCCATAGGATGTTTAACGCGGTAAATTCAAGTCTGTCATTGGTAGAATACACTGTATTTTATAATTATATGCAATATCGGTATAAATTATATTTAATATTCATTTTTTTCACAGGCATATACGATTCACCACCAACTGAATATCTGCCGAGTCATTACGACAACCCTCCTGTTTACTCCAGGTAACATATGTTTATTCCATTTCGTTCTTAGATTAATTTACGACCATTAACTTACAAATAAATGGACGACGGGTCTAATACAAAAACCACGAAAAAAATGTGCCAAATCGACCTATTTAAATGTAGTGACATCTAAAGGAATATGATAAAGCTAAAACGTTGAATTTAAATTGTAATGTCATCGCAGTACTATCTAATTTTGCTTGCTTTGCTGTCAGTCGAACAAACGAAGACTAAAGCGTGAATGACGCTCTGTATACGATTTTAACACCCTATAAGGTCGGACACTTTTTAGCGCGGACCCGACGTCCATATAATTGTAAGTCAATGTTTACGACACATATTTTAATCTAACCTAACCATTAATTGATCTTTAATGTCTATTTGAAGCGAGTTTTTAACCGACTTCAAAAAAGGAGGAGGTTCTCTGTTCGACGTTTGTGAACCGCTTATGATGATTCTCTTTTTGTCGAATAGGGAATACCTCAATAGGAGCCCCAGTCAAATTTTAAGAAAATATTCATGAAATATTCCATTTCTAAGTATGGCAAATGAGACTTTAAATTTAATTTCCTTTTAGTACTACTAACGTAGTTTTTAAAAATCAACATTGTTTAATAACAAAACTGTTTGCTGTGTGAAAAATAAAATTTATTATTATTTTTATTAATAAAACTTGGCAAATAGATGTAATTCCGCAAACTTTTAAGGTATGTTATTTTAATAAAAAAATTAAAAAAAATATTATATTGGTTAAAATGGTACAAGTTCTGTTCTCATTTTTGGGTTTGTCAGCATTATGTATTCATGTTCATAGGTTGTTAGCCTAAAATTACATTTTTGGTGAACCAAAAATGAAACAGCTGCTAATGAGCTTGTTACAGTCTGTGTTAGGCGCATGTTACAACATAATATATAACCTTTGAACGTAGTAATATAACCTTTAAACTTTACTATACGTTAGCTTTTGTAATACAACACAGACTTCCACAAACTTATACAGTGTATAAAAGTTACTTATTCATCTTTGTTTCACAGATTTACTCCAGCAACTATACCATCTTCGTATTTCCAAAGTCGTGACACGGAGTCATCAAAACGTAAAATCCATCCTCAGGACTATGAAATATTACAAACAATAATTGGAAAAACACCACAGTAAGATTGAAGTTTTACTCCTATTTCCGACAATTAATTTAGTTTACACTACCAATTTTGAAAATGAAATAAATAATATCATTTATTCTCTTTATATAGGGTCGGTATATTACTAATGTAAAACTTAATCCATTTATGGACCCGCACATTAATGTCAGTACTTTCCTTGCCGTAGTGCTTATATTCATTAAATGTAAAATGTGCAGTGTAAATCATTGTATTGTGTCAGTGCATTATTGATAAATAATGAAATTGACAATTGTACAGAAAGAACTAGGAAGTCGCACTGTAAAGACTGTAGTTGGTTTTTTTGATATTCACGTAGCAAAACGAGGTATTTCGTACTATCATATTCTGATATTTAATTTTACGGTAAACGCTGTTGCTGTACATGAACATGTTAATCCTATTCAGCCATAATTAAGAGCATTGAAATTTGTCATAATTTATCAATTTGAGATCAATCAGTCTTTATATTTGAAAATGTTCTAAAATCCATGTGCGCAGTTCTAAATGTGACTAAAGGACTTTGAATTAATCCGGTATTTTGTTTTTTAAATTCCACATATTGCATAACAATCACTTTAGAAGCATTTCATTTTAGAAATTGTTCTTAGTATCACTTTGTTCAGGTTTCTTAGGATTCTAACAGTCACGTCCTTCCTACAAATATACCAGCTTCGGGTATATTAATCAAGGGGGGCTAACGTACCGTACGTTTGGTATGACGAACATTTCATTAAAAATTACAGAAGTATTAAGTAAGATATGTCAATATCTTCACCTACTGACATTTATTAACAAGTTAAGATATTTGTTTTAAATGTATGAGAATATTAATTACTTACATTTTTTGCAGAATCGATAAACATGTGACAAGGACACGCGAAGCCGAGTGCCCCGTAGGCAATTTGTCTTGTGACAGTGGGGATTCTTGTATTGAGGCTAAGCAATGGTGCGATGGAAATGTTGACTGTTTTGACGCAAGTGACGAATCCAGATGCAGCTGCAAATCTAGAGTCGACAAATCCAGACTGTGTGATGGTTATTTCGACTGTCCTTCGGGCGAAGATGAGATGGGGTGTAATGGTAATAATATGAACCAATTAATTTTGAATTTCCTTCTTTTTAACGTATCGATGACATACATTGTCATTTTTGCTAATATTGTGAAATCAGAGCAACAATACAAAGGTTGCTCTGACCCAAAAGTAAGTACCTAAAGTACTTGTGTTATGGAAATTGGAAACAACGACGGTAACACACGGTAACACCCAGACTCCGAGACCATATAGAAAAGCTAGTTTTCTACACTGACCCGGCCGGGGATCGATCCCGGGACCTCAGACATGGTGACACCATGAAATCCCATGTGGAAGCCACTCCACAACGGAGGTCGTATAAATCATAAATGTAAAACTAAAGATTTTAGATCGACTTTGTAAATAATAAAGTTAAATCTATTAATGATTATATGCCTTTTCTTACCATGACATTATAATGTCTTTATTTAAATTCAGGATGCAGCGAATCCACATTCAGTTGTGAAGATTTGGATATAAACTCACAATCTACATGTTTTAATAAAGAGCAAAGATGTAATAACATTGCTGATTGTCCCAATCGTAGAGATGAATTGGACTGCACTATGCTTGCACCAACTTTGCACAAGAAACCAGTAAGTTTCCTACATTGAACTACATTATCCTAAAAGGTATATAAAAACTTAGTGTATACTACCAGTCTCGCACCCCGACTAAGTAATATTGCCAATTTGTTAAATACCGAAATAAATGTTATAAATATTCTTAAATAGAATGATTTTAATATACATGAACGAAGTCGTTTGCAATTACAATTCTATTGTTTCTGCGTTTTTGATAAAGAATAACATCTCTTAATTTTTTTTGATAAACGAACTTTTTACTCCGAAGGGAATAACAGTTAAGTATTAAAAAGCTTACTGTTATATACCAACTGTTTTACTCGTTAGCGGATTTGGAACAAAGTGTGAAAGTTAATTCGTTGAAGTCCAAAGAAAAGTTTAAAAGCAAACCCATGTCCCTGTTTCCGCTGTTGGACACCTATATCAGACTTTGCAATTGTGACTTTTGGCCATCCATATGCCTTTTGAAACTTTATAATCTCTCCCTCACATCTAACAGTCAAAAGTGCTTGATCTAATGTTTTTATTCAAACTTATTCATGGGACTATAGCCGCAGGCATCCTTTAACGTTTAAAACAATTTCGCTCCCTGTTTGTAGAACTAACCTAGGTCAACACTGTCCACGGTATCGCATGTGCCCTTCTTACAATGGTATCAGATCCGATTTCGACATTTTCTCTGGTTCTGTGGTCTCAGCTACGAACTCAATTAGGAGACTCCTTTCGTGTTAACTACACGACACATTTTGTTGAATTTTGTTAAAATATTAGATTCAAATTTATAGTTATTGTCACTTATTTAATCATCTAATCTTTTTTACATTTATTTTATTTAGTAAGTTTTATTCACATCAATTAGGGTAAATTCTTATGGTGTCAGTGTGTTAATGAAATACTTTTAGTTTATAATATCTTAATTGTATCCAGTTTTATGAACCGATTAAAAAAATCCTTTTATAAATCACATGTCTAAACATACTCTTATTTAAATAAGCAAACATAATTTATATTCTAAATTATATTATTTATATGCGAGTAAATAAATAAATAAATAACACACACACTCACAGCCCCGCACCTAGAAAACCCTGTGTCGCAGGTGCCATGGACACGCACATAGACAACCACAAATTACACTCAAACTCACGAGAGAAATAAATATGTAGACCAGACAAATATTTCTCCTCGCCAAGGAATCGAACCCCGGGACCTTTGCGTGACAGGCCAGCATGTTTAAACTCATATAAAGATCTGCAATAAGCGCATAAAGAAATCCATATCTGCTTAAAGCGAGCAGTTTCTGCGGCTCGGTCTGTAGAGCAGTTGGTAAAAGCCTTGGTGTGGCAACAGACGCTGTTTCGAGACCAGATAGACCGAAGGATTTTTTGTTTGACTATTTTTTATTGTGTGGGAGGATTTTTTTGTATTGTACCATCTTAGTTTCAATAATAATAGTAATAATAAACTGGAGTAGAACAAAAAAAAATGAATTTCTTAATAGTAAAAATATCATGATAATTTCATTAGGTTTGATTTATTTATAATGGAAGGTGTAAGAAGTTGTCCTACAAAATATTGTCCTGTTTACAATAGCAAGCAAGGTTTGCAGAGAACTTCCTGATATCCGGTATATTTGTTCAAGACGAGCTTATATACAGGATATGATTATATTTTATTATATGGTTGTTAACGGCTATCAGTCATCCAGGTTTCGATAACATCAGGTGTACCACAGGGCTTGCTCTTGGGCCCTGTTTTATTCAACATTTTCATTAATGACATCCCAAAGTCTATCAAATATTCTATTCCCTTTCTTTATGCCGACGACTTAAAACTTCTCAAAGTGTACGCTCTGTGGAGGATTCTAAAGCTTTGCAGAAAGACCTAGACAGTCTTGGGTTGTGGTGTCAAAAAAACGGAATGACACTGAATGCAACTAAATGTGTAAACATAACATTCACCCGTCGAATTAAAGGTTTTCTCAAATACTCCTACAAAATCAACGACTCCATACAAAATGAAGCTGACACGATTAGAGACTTGGGAGTGCTGCTAGACAAAAAATTAACGTTTGTACCACATATTGATCACATCGTAAAGAAAGCCTCGAAAGCACTCGGTTTCGTTCTACGTAACGTCAAGGAATTCCGTAAACCCGCTACAAAAATAATAATGTACAACTGCTTAATGCGAAGCGTTCTCGAATATGGGTCAGTGATTTGGCGTCCTCACTACGCGAACCACATGTTGAGAATCGAAAGGCTCCAGAAAAGGTTTATGTGACATTTGTCGTTTTCATCAGGTGTAGCGCAAAGAATACGTTCGTACGATAGCAGGTTAAAAATGTTTAAAATGGTTAACCTTAACAAACGTAGAGACACATTAGATATGATTTTTCTATACAAAATTATCCGTTACGAAATAAACTGTTCTTCACTCCTTAGCCAATTCAAACTTAAAGTGCCGCATAGATATCCCCGTCATAGAATTAAAGCTCTCTTTTCGACGCCAATTCGCAGGACAGTAGCGGGTCGCAACTCGCCAGTTCCTCGTCTATGCAGCTTGTATAACCATTTTATCGTTAATATCAATAATTTAGATATATTTCACGACTCTTTGGTTAAATTCCGTCGATGGATTGCATCATCGTGACCTAATTTTCTTTAAACTTTCAATACTTATTTTTTATTTTTTTTATTTGAATAAAATTGTTTACTATTTAAGTAAATACATAGATACGAGTCTAGCCCTTCGCGGACTACTTTTTTGAATTCACTAATTTACTTGCACGTGGTGTTCATCTGTTAAAAATTGTGCAATTAGTATAAACCCTAGAATAGAAACCTCTCATAATGTAATTGTTGTAACAATTGTTGATGAACCTTAATAAATAAATAAATAAATAAAATAAATATTACAAAAGTGTTCAACAATATTTTGGGATACGTGAATGTTCATGACATTGAACAAGATTAAACATACCAAAGTATTATTTGCTTTTTTGCAAAATTAAATAAAAGAAGAACTCTATATATCTACGTATACATAGACACAATAAATTAGTATTAAATAAGGTCCGGTTCAGATGACAAGGGAGCGGTATAAGAGCCGGTAAGCGTGCGTAATAATAATACCGCTTACGACTAAATTCTTTTAATTATAAGTATCGCTTTCACATGCTGGCGCGCGTTTAACTTAACATTGAATGAAATTCGTAAATGTCCGGCATTACATACATATATTTTTTCTCTCTCTCTTTCTCCTCGTCATTACTATTCCCATCTGATGATAGGGTCTGCATTGCGTGTATTTTCTTCCAACTTCACTCAGTCGTTTTTATGATGTTATGTTAAAGTCAGTCTATACGGAGCCAATCGAATCGATTACAGCCTTAAAACTCAAAATTCGTGAAGTGATTAACGAAATAGACCCAACATTTTGTCAAAAAGTGATTAAAAACTTTGATGAAGGAATCGACATCTGTAACTGTGATCGTGTGATCATTTTTCATTCATAATTGCCAAATCTTCCTTTTTTTTTAATACAATACAAATCTGAATGATTGTCATCTAAATTTATTGTTTTATTTTGATTTACAAAACAAAGTTTTTGTTGAAAAACTCTATACATTGTTATCGTTGGTTTTAACCTGTTTTAACTAGCGTAAATTACATTAGGTACTCAAAAACATTGGTTATACTGCGGTATACCTGTGACATTGAAACCAAACCTCATCATTTATAATTAAAACTCCCACCGCTCATTATTTTGAAATTATTAGCGTTGAGATGAAGGCATAATAATACACCATTTTCGTAACATTTAATTTTATTTCATTTCTATTTTCTCACTTTTTCAACGAAATTAAAAATAAATTTTAAAACAAAAGATGTGACTGTACATTGACAGTTCTCCGTTTTCGCGATTAATACACATTAGGAAACGAAATTTAATTTTTCGAATCGCGTATTTATTTTTTCAAACAAACCAAAGTCCCAGTTTATACTTTTTGGCTCAACAAATATATATATCGCACTGCTATTACAATAGTGTTGTAACTCAAAATATGTGAAATTCTATACGAAACGTATGATTTGATTCTTTATACGTCAACGAAACCGTCGTTGGTACATTGTAATACACAATCAAAAAATATCTACTTAATCAACTTAAAATGAGATAAACTTTTCGTGAGCTAGTTCTGGACAAAACAGATCTTGCTCAAAAATATGAAATTATTTTTTCCCTTTTATTTTTCAATATATTTGGGAGGTACGGAATTGGTCAGATGTCTGTAATAAACTTTGACGATACATTAATTTTAATAATCTTTCACGGGAAGTGAGTAATTAGTTTTTCGTCGATTCTGAAAATATACCCTTTTTGAGTTAATACACCATTGTATTAACAGTGCAATATATGAGATATAGTTACAAAAAAAAATAGTTTCATTTCCGAAACTGAGTGCACTTACCCAGTACATACATTATTGTTATAGTATAATGAATAAAGAAAAACTTTCATAGATTTCTCACAGATGGCGTTACGGCATAAAAGTCGTGAAAAACTTAAGCTAAGATCTGCAACAAGCACATGGAAAAATTTGTGAGGTCCGTTGGTTTGTTCCGTGGCTTAGTGGCCATTGTGTCTGGCATGGTTTGCTAGGAGACGTTGGTTCGAATCCAGTCGGATCGGAATGAATTTTTTTTAAGTGTTTGATATTTGTTTAATAATAAATTATAACAAACTAGTGGAGTAAATTCACAAAAAATAATTGAATGTCATGGTGGTAAAACATCCTAATATTCAATACAACTTAATTATGATAATTAGAATAAATTTAAAAAACAAATACAAGTGTTCTTCAAAAGCAGTCTTGATCTTGCAGTCTTAGTGTTGTTTTTGCATTTTCGTAATACCAAGACTGAGACCACATAATTGTAGCAAGACAGACCATGAAAGTTTTGAGCAAGAACAAGACTGAGTCTACGGAACCTTTGAGTGTTGCAGTAACGTCAAAAAAACGGTTACCTAATTGGTATTTGGTACCTATATTAATATATAATTGATAGACGTTCTCTGGAATCAATATCACACACGAAATCCTAAAATAAAATCTGTTGTGTCCATTATTAAGTATATATTGAAGTAAATAATGTTAACTCATTTAAAAAGAATGTGTACCTAATAAAAGTGCAACGCAAAACAATAAACACTAATAGCTTAGTTACTGAATTATCAACAACTCTCTGACCCGAAAAACTAACCAACGAGCCGATGTTGCTCCCGAGAGTGCTTGTAGCGTATGTGCCTAAAATTATAGACAACCAATATTGTCCTAAAACTACTAATCCAAACACATAGAAAGTTCTATTTCGAAAATTTTCACAAATTTCAAAACAAGCGTATTATGTAAATATTGTAACATGAATTTTTCTATAGCTATTTCTCAATTGTTGCTATACCTATGTCATCATGTACTCAAAGTGTATCCACTTTGTTGCCTATTCTAAAATCTGAACCAACCCACATTGCCACCTTTCGTAACAACTTAACAGTTTGAAATGGTTATCGCAAGACGCAACTTTTGTTTTGCGCAAACTAAAGTGCAACACTAGACCAAGACCGAGTGTGCTGACGTGAGATCTTGAACTGGGCTTGCATTTGGGCAATACTAAAGCTTAGCCATCCAAACGGGAAATGCCCAGGCAATCTCTCGAGTAGTTGGAAAAATAAAAAAGTAGATTATTATCTACATTCTTTCTTCAGTATTAAGCGTGTTTAATGTACTATTCCGTTTTACTTATTACTATAAACATGTTTATAACGAAATAAATTATGTTACATTAATTAATAATTACTTCTTTTTGATTAACCATTTTCAGATGTTTGCTATATCAAATACAGAAGGATTTTTGCATAAAAACTTCAAAGGTGAGTGGTATGCAGTATGCAAATACCCCTACATGTGGGCCCATGACGCTTGCCTCCGAGAGACTGGACTCATAATAAGGTGCGAAATTAAATTAATTACTATTTTCATTACAATTAACGAAGTATTCAATAATAATGACAATTTTTTATATATATAAAATCACAGAAACTCCATTATTAAATCGTGAACGTGATTTCTTTCTCAGCGATAAAGGATCCTAAACTATGCTTCAATGCAAGTTTGGTATTTTTTTCGACGAATTATTGTATTATATAATTTCATAGTAGAATACGTCATTCTCTAAGATAATTTGAAAAAAATTAAAAATTTTTGGAACTTATGACTAAGTGGTTTGAATACATGGTTTGAAACGGTTTGCTTGAACTTTGTACGACGTCCCGTGGCCCATAAAAGTTTTTTTATAATATCAAATGACGGGACAAACAAGTCATGCGCCTGATGGTAAGCTACACGCCTGTCCATAACAGTTGCAGTGCCACTCAGAGCTTTAATTCGCAAGGATCACTGCCACTGCACCCGTCACCTTGAGACATAAAGGTGACAAGTCCCATGTGCCTGTAATTTCACCAGCACCCTTACCCTTCTAAACCGGAATACAGTAATGCTAACATTACTGCTTGGTGGTAGTAATAGGTAAGTGGCAGTGCTTCCCTGGACGAACTCTTTCCCAAGGATCTCTACTGCTGCTAAATAAGCGAGTGTATACGCGCTCTCAGCGGCTGTGATTCCTATTTCTGTTTTCACGGTGTCTAATTAAAAAAATATACTTCAGTACAATTGACGTTTGTTAAAACTTAAAATGTGTTTTTTTTATAAACTTTCACAGTAACTTTCAAAATGAAAGCACTGTGCCAGCGTCAGTAACATATTTGAAGTTGAAGAATTTGTAAAAAAAATCACATTCTTTCTTTAGAATGTGATTTTTTTTATCGCAAGGGGTCTACGCAAAACGAGACAAAAAAATTTGGGAACCTCTGCTTTAAACAAATCTATTTTTTATTTTTTATTTTTAGGCCACCAATCATAGAAGTGTTACCGATCGATCCTTTTCTCAAAGTTGATTATTTGAGCACAGAACCTGGGGGAGTGATAGAAACGAGTAATACGTGTTTGAACTCATCAGCAATTTACGTGACATGTCCCGATTTACTCTGTGGAACAAGAGTGATGACCACGTCACAGCTACTAAGAGAGGTATTTTGCATTTCTTTAATTATAATGTTATTAAAATAAGTGGAAATCTCACTGTGCAGGATTTTAAATAAAAGTAAACACATTAACACTCCTAACGTGTATGAAAGCGCGGTTAATAATTGTAAATATTTAGAACAGAAATTAAATTTTAGGACGCTGCAGCAGAAAACCAACTTTACGGCCGAAATAAGAGACAAGATCGATCATTCCCCTTTTCCATGCTTCACAGTCTTGTAAAACGAGACACATCTGAACCATTATCTACCGTGTCGAACTCTAATAATTACAAAGAGAGGAATAAGAGGTCGGAAAGTAGAGTAGTTGGTGGTAAAACCAGCAAACCTGCAGCGTGGCCTTGGATGGTAGCCATGTATAGAGATGGTACCTTCCATTGTGGTGGGGTTATTCTTACACAATCCTGGGTTATGTCTGCTGCTCATTGTGTTCATAAGTGAGTATCTAATCTTATAACGCTTCAATGGACTGTTTAATCCAAATCCTGACTATTAATTAGCCGTCAGAGTCACAAGTCAGCTTTGCTAGATATTTAATTAGAACTATCAGCCTTTAGGGCGTTCATTATACGCTAATATTAGAACGAAATATTATCGGCCGCTTGAAAGGATAAATTTAGTTATCGTATAGAAGAGATCTTTTAAAAAGATTTTGTAACAATTACCAGAAATAATTGTTACCTCTTCTTTCCGATAATGTATTTAGCTTTGAAAGTAGCGTAGTGGGACTTAACTGATAACACTATTTTCTTATCAGTTTTTAATAATAGCTCTGTCTTATTAAAATTCAAATACTTTATTTCGGATTATTCATTCATATTGGTTACTACAACAAAAAAAAACTTATACACCAATGTTAGTAATTACAACTTATAAATATGCACGACTCTTAGGGTCGTATTCTAGAACTCTACTCAATGCTCAAGTCAGGATTTGAGTATGATTTAAAGCACTCGAAATCATACTCAAGTCCCTGCCATTAGGGTCGTATTTCCAGTGCTTGTGTTTCCAGTGCAATCCTGACTTGAGCACTGAGTAGAGTTCTAGAATACGACCCTAAGGGTCGTATTCCAGGACTCTACTCAATGCTCAGGTCAGGATTTGAGTATGATTTAAAGCACTAGAAATCATACTCAAGTCCTGACTTGAGCATTGAGTCTCATTGAGTCTACCTGGAGTACGACCCTTAAACAGCTGAGAGCTTTCCTTGTGTAGTTAACCCAAAAGCTGCAGGTGTAAAAGGTCTGGCAGCAAGCTTTAAATAGCGATAATTTTACGACGGTACACCTTGCAAACCTACGGGCTAACATGTTGCCCCCACTGCCAACGTCCTACGCTCTTAAGTATGTACGTGTATGTAGTATAACAACAACAACAATAATAACAACACACACTCACCATAGCTTAGGGATACCCTGTGTCGCGGGTGCCATGACATACACATAGACAACCACAAATTACACCCTAACTCACGAGAGAAATAAATGTAGGCCATACAAATATTTCTCACGGCTCGGGAATCGAACCTGGGACCTGTGCGTGGCAGTCTGGCATGGTAAGCGTTCGGCCACGGAGGTAGTCAAATTATGTATGTGTCAAAGTGTATAAGTCAAAGTATGTATGTGTCTTATGTATGTACTTCAATACTTTGCAGATTCTGGGAGCATTACTATGAGATACAAGTTGGCATGTTACGACGGTTTTCCTTTTCGCCACAAGAACAAAATCGCCTTGTTACACATGTGATCGTTAATCACAAATACAGCAAAGTAGATATGAAAAATGACGTGTCACTCTTGAAAGTGAAGCCGAGTATTCAATTTGGTCGATGGGTCCGGCCTATTTGTCTTCCTGGGCCAGAGACGGCTGGACCTCATTGGTTGTGGGGTCCTGCACCTGGTACAATATGTACAGCTGTTGGTTGGGGAGCTACAGTTGAACATGGACCTGATCGTAAGTACCTATATTTGTTTATTTATATTTTACACAACATATCAGGTCCATAATTGTGTTAGTATCTGTTAGCCTACAGCGGTACTTAATATTTAACAATGATTTTGTCCTTTGAGTGAGTTTTCACATCAAAGGAAAATCGAATTTCTTAGAAATCATCTTCATGATGCTGTTACTGCTGTTCACACTCTGTTAAGGTACCTACAGATTTCCTCGATTTTTGATGAAATTCTGTTAAAAACGAACAAATTTGTAGGTACCTACGCCTAATTTAAATTTTACAGTGTCGATTATCAAAAAAATATGTTATTGATCCTCTGTTGCTTACACATTCACTCGTTTTGTTAATCGACTTCAAAAAAAGTAGGAGATTCTCAATTCGACCGTATTTTCTTATGTTACGCGATAATTTGTGAACCGGTTTTTGATGATTCTTTTTTGCTAGAAAGAGTGTGAGAGAGTGGTAAGCTAGGGGATGAAACCGGCGGTTTCGCGCACTTTCCGGAAACCGATTTCAATAAAACTTTGCAAATAAATGTAAGTCCACAAACTTTTGAGGTCGGTTTTTTTAGTACCTACTCTGTACTGAGATTGTTTGATCACAAATATCGATTGTCAAAAAATCTAACAAATCTGTAGGCAAATTTATATATATAACATTATATATATCTATTGGTATGCTCCGCCGCAACACCCTTCGCGCATCCACGTAGACTCTCCGTAGAGAGTCCTTTGGAGCGCCCACCGCACGGGCCAATCGGCCAAATTCAGCCGCGGAGGACAGGACGAGCGACAACGACACACCGACACGTCTCTTTCCCCGCGGCCCCACTGCCACTGCACCTGCACCCTTAGCGGTGCATCCCCGGCAGGGTCGCGGAGGATAGGACGAGCGACACACCGACACGTGTCTTCCCCCGCGACCCTCCTTCCCGCATGCGTCCATGCGAACCCGCTCGGCTTAGATCAAGACGAGCCCGCGCGGTCCCCCTTCCTCTTAGCTTCACCGTGGGATGAAATCGACCAAGTCTACTAGAGACCCCCGCCACGACAAGGCAAGATGGTGTTAATGCCGTGATACTGGAGTGCATCCGGAATGTTTGCGGATGGTTTCGAGTAGAGTGCGCACCAGCAGCTACAGATTTCTGTCAGTTCTTGCAAATACATGGGAGTGTGGCCTACTAAGGCATTTGGTCCTCTTTTCATTTAAGTTTGCGTATTCAGATAGTTATTAAATATTTTATTATTTTGTAATACTATTGTTGTCTGAAATAAATACATTTTATTTTATTTTATTTATTTGTTTTATTTAATATTCACTTTTATAAAGTATTTATTTTTATTTTTGATATTTATCAAACTTCTCAAAACCCAACAAAAAAAAGCATTATTAAAAATACTATTTTAATACTCATAGAACTCTATTTTTAGCTTATACAATCGTTTGCAGCGTAATGAACCTGACAATCAATTTTGTTGTTCTTCAATTTGCCGCTTTCTGGGCACTTTACTGTTACTTTAGAGTTCCCGTTGTTAAAGTAATTTGTTTTACTTAGAAAATAGCCTGAAAGTTTGATGTTTTGATATTTTGATGACGTTAGGGCACGATGTTATTCGTCGAACATTTGGTCCCAGTAACAAGTTATTGATGGTTTATATACGAATTCATTGTTTTAGCCGACCACATGAGAGAGGTAGAAATACCAATATGGACAAAATGCAAACACCGGGAAGATCAAGAAGGCAAAGAAATTTGCGCAGGTCTTATCGAAGGAGGAAAAGATGCTTGTCAGGTATAGATAAAATCGTATCGTAATCGTATCGTAAAACAATAAAAAAATAAACCCAATTTTGTACTAATTACAAAAGTTACCACCAAGTCTAGCTAGTTAGTATGATTGTAGTTATAGATAAGCAAAATTAGAATTTTAATCAAAATGTTATAATTAATTCGTAATAAATCGAGCGATCAAGGTGAGTTTACTTCATTTTCTGGTTTATCAAAACGAAAAATTACAATACAATATTTTCAAAAGTATTCGTACATAAATAACATTGAACCTTTTGTGCCCAAATGTACGGTTTTGTCCTAATAATTTTCACGCAACATTCTAGTACTTATTAATGATTTCCATTATCTCTTTCAGGGCGATAGCGGGGGGCCACTTCTGTGCAAGAACCCATTGAACTCCCAACAATGGTACATGGCAGGGATCGTAAGTCACGGTGACGGATGTGGTCGCAAAGACGAGCCGGGTGTTTATACGCGAGTCAGTCTCTTTGTAAAATGGATCAGATTTCATATATGTGAGTATTTTAGTGCTTTTTACAAATCATAAATTATTATCTTGAAGTATAATCAGTAGCAGATTAAGGGAACATTACTGTTTGATTTACTAAATTTAGTTCTTTATTTCAGTTTCAAAATCTTTGCCCACAATACAACCTAAACAAGAGTGTCCTGGTTTCAAATGTATATCGGGAATTTCAAAATGTCTTCCAATGAAAAGAATGTGCGACAAAATAGTTGATTGTCTTGACGGAGAAGACGAAATTAATTGTAGTTCTATGAGAAGTACTTCGTCTTTAACAGACTCGTTTGTATCTACATCAAAAGATAGCATCTTTGAAAGAAAGGGAAACTTAGATACAAACAAAGCTGAAAATAGCTCATCAGAAGAATCATCATCAAATGAAGAATCGCATAAAGACCAAGTTGAGACAATTCATGACGCACAGAGTAGTGATTTAAAAAATAATCATAAAATAGAATCTATGGTTGCTACTGTATCACAAACCAATACTACCGACACGTTACCTACACAACAAACAATCGAAATTGATATGTCAACAACTTCTACAAATACTGATTTTATAAAAGTGTCAAATATGGAAAATTCAAAGAGAAATTCATTTGAATTTAATTTAACTAGTTCTGAAAACATAGAAGACATAACTGTAGATCCTAATAGATCAGCTACAAATGACGAAGAAAACAATAATCGAGGAGATATACAATCGTTTATTGCGTCCGTTTCAAAAGAATCACTAGAGTCAAGATCTTCAATTTTAGGAAACAAAGAAGCTGACATTCATGAAGATCTTAGCGATACACTAAATATGAGCTCACCAACATCATTTAGTACTACAACTATAGAATCTCCGACACCACAACATGGAGAGGCTTTAGTTCATAATGCAAGCATTCAAAACACAAGTGACAGTAACCACGAGTTTAATGTTTCAGTTCGTAAACCAAATCAAACTGCAGAAACAAACTCCAGTACTCATTTGTCTAATCTTCTCGAAAATGAAAATATCGAATTGGAATCAAAAGATATATTAATAGATCTACCAGATCAGTCAGTTACAAATAATGAAGATAATTCTACAGAATCTGAAGCTAAACATTTATTTTCTCCTGACAAAAACGGTATTCTTGATAAAATAAAGGATATTATAGCATCTCAGCTCCAACCAGCAAAACAGAAAATTAAACATCTTATTCCTAATACATTTGAATGTCAACGGTAAGCAAGGTTTTGACTTACCATCTTTATATTATTATTGACTGTGTCTTTACCAGAAAGTTATTTAATTAAAGCTTAATTTTCACGTTTCAGTATTTTCCAAACAGTACCATATTCTGAGCGATGCGATCGCAAAGCTGACTGTGAAGATGGCACTGACGAACTTAGCTGCACATGTCTTGATTACCTCTCAAGATTTGAAAATAAACTTATTTGTGACGGCATTTTAGACTGTGCTGATGGACAAGATGAAGTAGATTGCTGTAAGTACTATTTTACATTAAGAACACACTTATAATTTTAAGAAAATCCATTTTTTTACCTGATGATTTAATTACAGATACCTGTGCTGAAGACCAATTTTTATGCAAGAGAAGCCAACTTTGTTTACCAAATAAATATGTTTGTGATGGCAAACCACAATGTCCTCAGGGTGAAGATGAGTTAGACTGCTGTAAGTATTAATATTTTATTTTTATATATGTATTTTTCAAATACCTATATTTAATTATGTTATATTAATCAACTTAATTTTTGTGTGATTGGTTGCAGTTGCTTTAACGAATGGCCAAACTATAGCATATGATTTCGATGCCCGACCAGTAGTAAACTTGGAAGGTTTTCTTACAAAAAAACATTTAAACGACTGGCATGTCGTTTGTGACGACAACTTATCCATCAAACAACAGGAACAAGCTGCTCTACATATTTGCCGTTACCTAGGATTCAGGTAACTTGTGAAAAATTTAACGTATAGGTACGACTAGATCTTACCACGTAAAAATATTCGCTTGTTATTTTTTTTTCAGTTCCGTTAACCGTTACCATGTAAAGCATATCAACATAAACGAAGACGATATTTTACAAACGAGATCTTCAATGGACAAGAGAAACAGAAGACACGCCAATAAAATGCCAATTCATTTTGCCTATAGAACAGTTGAAGAAAACGCAGCAAGGCACATTGTAATCAAGGAGCCTACAGTTCTGAAAGAGCACTGTGTGCCGAACGTTACTAAGACTTGTCAATCTCTTTACGTATTTTGCGAGCATTCTCTTTATAACAGCTTCGAAGTTTCTAATGAAGTTATATATCGATCAGCCGATGACACGACACACATGTGGCCTTGGGTTGCTAAAATATTTGCTGATGGAGAATATAAATGTACGGGCATTTTGGTTGATTTGTCATGGGTATTGGTCAGTGATTTATGTTTTTGGGACACAATGTAAGTTGGAGGTATATTTTAATCTAAACAATTTATTATTTAAGCTTTTAATTATGTATTAATATGATCGCGCTATAATAAACTTCGTTTATAGTATCGAAGTGTATTTTGTCAGTTCTAAAACAAGTGGTAATAACGACGTGGCTGTATTTAAATTTTGAAGGTCACTTTTACGCATCATCTTATATGTAAATGCGAATGTTGTTTTAGGATAACCCACCAAATGGTAACCACTGTCCTTGGATCTCACCGGACCTTAAGTGGTACAAAGGGAATGTATGAACAGACGTATGAAGTTGATTATTTTAAAGATATGTATCATAAACGAGCAGCACTTTTGCATTTGAAGAACCCAGCATTTTATTCTAATTTCGTCAAACCTATGGTTGTTTCATCATCGTAAGTATTTACCTACATTTTGGTTCTTTTTAACCAACTTTAAAAAAAGGAGGAGTTTCTCAATTCGACTGTATATTTCTATATTTTTTTTTACGTGTATATTACGCGATAACTCCGGTATTTGTAAACCGATTTTGATGAATCTTTTTTTGTTGGAAAGAAGGAGACAAAATATAATCTCAGTACAGAGTACTAAAAACACCGACTTCAAAAGCACGTGGAATTACATCTATTTGCCAAGTTTTATTGAAATAGGTTACCGAAAATTGCGCAAACCCAGATTCATCTCCTAGTTTGCCACTATACGGGATTTGATACAGGAGATAATGAAAATCGGTTCTCACTACTCAAAGTATATTGAGAGAGAAAAACACCATTAAAATAATTGCTCCTTATAATGAAATTTAGGCGCTATTTATAAAAATGAACCTTCATGCGTGAACAGTCACCCTTAGGGGTGAATAATTTTTTTCAAAATTAAATGGGACCACTATGGAGGTACCCTCTTTCCAACAAAAAAAGAATCATGGAAATCGGTTCATAAATACCGAAGTTTTCACGTAACATACACATGAAAAAAACATACGGTCGAATTGAGAACCTCCTCCTTTTTTAAAGTCTGTTAAAAATAGAGGTATTCTCGTTCTCCGTCTGACTACTGTCTGAAAAAATTACTGTCAAATAAGTAATACTCGACCAAATTAAAACACAATGTCAAATATGAAGCTTCATTCGCGTCATGCGTTTTTCAATTTCATCGAGTATTACTTATTTGACAGTAATTGTGAGAATGAGAGCAGAGGGCCTCATTTTTGTGTCTAAATAGCGTATATTTTAACCGTGCCGTGAATGTTGTACCAGTAAAGCCCGAAAGTTTGGTAAAACTAAGAATTTTAACCACCCTTTTCTCCACTTAGTTCGATCCGGCTGCACCTGATTACCTAGATGCTCATTTCAATTTGAAACCCCTCTGCCGGGTTGCGAAATTCGATCTTGCCGTAGCTTCAAGCTCTCTATTCTTTCTCACCGTACTGATTTTGTATCTAATTCTTTTGCCCTTCATGCCATCCGTCTTTGGAACGCGCTCCCGCTAAATATAAGACAAGCTCAGACTAAGTTATCTTTCACGCGCATGTTGCGCAAATGTCTCTTTGATAATCTTCTAGATCAAGACTCTGCATAATGTTGCTGTGGGTACTTATATATTATGAATTAATATTATGTTTACTATATATTATATATATTGGGTATATTTGTTATATGTATGTATTTTGTTATATTTATTTATTATATAAGTATATTATTTATGCTGTACTATGTTTATTTTATACTGTAAATATTAACCATAAAATTTAGGCTTATGATATAATTTTTTCTGTTTTAAGTGTAGAACCAACCTTTTGTTTTTTTTTCTGTTAGGCCCAATGGTTGAGTGATAGAGAATGCCTTATGGCATTAAGTCCGCCATTTGTACATTATTATATTGTGCAAAACGATTATTTAGATAAAAAAATAAATATAGGCGATTACAAATATTCAATCATTGTTTGTTTAAACCCATGTTTTCGTTCATTTGAATATTAATTTTGCTTCATTTGCAGTGCAGCGCATAATGAAAAGCCTTCAATGTGCGTAGCATTAGGTCAAGATGAAAAAAACAATACAGTAGGCTTGTTCTTGGAAGAAACAAACGAGAACTGCTACCGTCACTCCCGATGCTTCGTCAGTAGCCGTCAGAACATGTCGGAGAATGTTTGCGCTGTAAGTTTCAAGGTGCTAGAACTCGTAAAGGGTATTTTTAACAAACTTAAAAAAATGAGCAGGTTCTCAATTCAAATGTGTGTTTTTTGTTTGTATGTTACGCGATAATTGTGAACCGATTTTGACGTTTCTTTTTTTGTTGGGAGTAGAGTACCTCAGTAGTGGTCCCATTTGATTTTGAAGAAAATATTCCACCCCCAAGAGTGGCTGTTCACGCATGAATGCTTATTTTTATAATTAGCGCCTACATTTTATAAGGAGCAATTATTTTAATGGTTGATTTTGCTATGCTCCAATTGAAGGCGTTTTTCTTTCGATATACCTACTTTAAGTAGTGAGCACCGATTTTTATTATGGCCTGTGCAAAGTCCCGTATAATGGTGAACTAGGGGGTGACTCCAGTTTTGCGCACTTTCCGGTAACCGATTTCAATAAAACTTGACAAATAGATGCAATTCTATGAACTTTTGAGGTCGGTTTTTTTTAGTACTGCAGTACTAATTAATATGTTTTAATTTATTCTAATTTCCTTTATTAATTAATAATAAATTTAACTTAATAACAAGTCATACTGTTGAAATAAAATAATTTGTAAAACATAATGCAGTGTAAATTGGAATGTTTCTTTGTAAAATTAAAAATAAAGCATTTAATTAATAACTTTTGTAACTATAGCGAAAAAATAGGGTGATTTACATTATTATTAGACGTAATTCGTTGATGACTGTATCACCTCAGTCAACCGTGACCATGGGACTTGTAAAAGGCCCAAACGTTAGTTTGTTTGAAAAAACAAATATACGCGATTTAAATCCGGAAAAATAGTTTCATTTCCTAAATCTGATTTTATTATAAGAATTAATTTAATAAACAGTTACGTCAACTTCACAAAGGATAATCCAGATTTCTAACAAGAGTAAATTTTTATTCCCTTACAGCCGAATATGGTAAGCAATCGCCAATGGGCGGGCATCATAAGTTGTCTCACAGAGCAAGGCTGGTATCCCGCTGCTTCCTTTGTCGATAGCCGAGGCGAATGTGGAGTAGGAGACAAAATTATTGGCACTGAAATCGACGGACTGCGTAATGAAATGAAAATTTTTATGGGTGAGTAGTATAAGTACACAATTCATAAATCTAACGTCAAGTTTTCTGGAAAAAGGGTGTCACTTTGTCATACATTACAAGAGCTATCTTGTATATTTTGTAAAACCTAGTTAATTAAGAGTAAATTTCAAAAAGATTCAAATTTTGCCGTGGCATTGTACCATAAACCTAAATGTTGAACAATTCTGAATCATCTTATTTAGATAATCATAAACACAACAGTAAACCCTTTTACTATTTGACGACATTTTTAAACGCTGACAGAAACGATTCAATTGTATAATTAATAGCGCGTGCGACAACCCGCGCTATGCGACGCGAGTGCATCGCGAGATTGTGCGTATGTGTGCGTTCATACACGCGGCTGGCCTGCACACATACAACCCGCGCTGCTACGACTGTATGGAGTTAACTTGTCTTATTATAATCTGGTTAAACTAACATTACAAAAATGGGCATAAAGACGTGAAACAATTCAATAGGTATTTGCAAACCTATATTTCGGCGTTTCCACTAAATATTTAAGATAGATAGCTGTGCAAATAACTATTCAATTGTTTCATCGCGTTCATCTCCGTTTTGTAATGTTAATTCAATAATAATAAAGGTGCCAATTTATACTACAAAAAGCTTTTGCCTTTATTTTTACTAAGCCTAGGGATCGAGAATGGACCTTTAGGGATTCTTAATAAAACTCTTCAAAGTCTCTTCTTTGACGGACGAAACAACGATCAAGTTCTAAAGGTTTTCCAGTACAAAGATAATTGGATAAACATAATAAAACAACAATGGAAACCTAACTTTTGCACGAGAGAAATATTTTAAACAGTGTTAGAAGGAATTATGTTACTATTTATCTGTTACTGTATTTGGCTGTTGTGGTTAATTATTAAACTATTATCACTTTTGACAGGTTTCTTAACACTGTGCAAATGTTGAATCGTAATATCGGCATAAAGGCATCAGATATATGATGTGATAAAAAGTCTGTAACTGGTGGTTATAAATTATTACCACTACATAGAGGTTGTTGGAAAAATTTTAAAGCAACATACCTAAAAAATAAAGCTGAATATGTATTTTCTTTAAGTATTTTTTTGAAATTTATTTTATAATCAACATCACATTAAAAAATTACACCTCACCAATTACCTGGGGGCCTACCACAACTTCTTAAAACAATGTTGCTTTAACCTTACTTACATTGACTTTTCGTACCATGGCGCGCTTAAAGTAAGATTTAGATTTAGATTTATTTTATTATCTTGTAAACTTTACATTATTATATACAATATATTGTGTTACAATAATCTTTACAAATAGTAATAAATGTTACATTTCAAAAAATTACAAATATCGAGTACAAGTTTTGTACTACGTAATTTTAACATAGTCAATGTAGTTATGTGAAATAATGTAGGAACATATTAAATAATATAATAATAATTATGTCAATATAATGATTGTATATGCATAAAGTTAATGTTATTTATTTATTTCTATAAAATAATATCTATACCTAATAATCTACAAATTACAACATATATTACAAGACCATGTTCCTATATTCTTCAGTGGAATAATACGCATTATCCAACAAAAAGTCTTTCAAAAAGCTTATTAAAATGTTAAAACTATGATGTTTTATGGGCAGCTTTGTGACTATTCATTCACTCAGTTCGTACTATGACGCGACTATTGTTCTTATTCTAAAGCAATCTTAAAATAGTCACTCGGACGCAGTGGAAACAATATTATTTTCGAATTTAATGATTAAAGGTTAACTTGAACATATTTATTTACATAAATCTCTTCAATATGTTTGTTTATTTTTTATTTAATAGTACATACTAACTGCCTCCGTGGCCGAACGGTTACCATGCCGGACTGCCACGCAGAGGTCGCAGGTTCGATTCCCGGGCCGGGAGAAATGTTTGTATGGCTTACATTTATTTCTCTCGGGAGTTTGGGTGTAATTTGTGGTTGTCTACGTGTGTGTCCATGGCACCCGCGACACAGGGTTTCCCTAGTGCGGGGCTATGTTGAGTGTGTGCGTTATTATTATTATATTACATAGGAAATCATTTCTCGTTAAATAAAAATACGCCATGTTTATTTCGTAAAATTATGACAGCGACATCTATATGCTCCCTGGTGACACTAACAGTTGACACTAGACTATAATTCCGAATTCACAACGTGACTATCAACACTCAGCTTGTTTTATTTATTTTTCTTCATGAAAATGTGGAAAAATAATTAACATTACATTAATTTAATTACAACAAATACAAAAATAATTAACATAACATTAATTTATTATTACATACTTTTCTTTTTTCTTAACAGTTAAAATTCTCTGAATGTAAATAACTAAGTACTTAAACAATAAACTACGTTAAGACGATTCGGGACATCAAAAAAGAAAGAGATGGCATTATGTAGCGTTATTTCTTTCCTATCTTTAGTAAGGAATAGACAATATTGGGAAATTATTCGTTCTTTCAATCACTTTATTTAGCAATAATGCATTACTTGGTTGATAGATTTGTCATAATACGAATATGAGTAATATTATAAAAAGCTTACTTTAAGCTTACATTGAATTAGGATTGTTTTTGGAAAGGTTATGGTAGGCCCCCTGATCCCTAATTTGAGACCATAAGAATTTCGTATACCATAAGTACTAGTGCAACATAATTCACTCTAAAGCACTACCCAGAACGGACTGGAATCAATTTAGAAAAGTTAATATCCCAAATTGGTCCTACTGGGAATCTAACCCGGCTCTCATGCCGAGCCCACAGTGCAAACCGTTGGGCTACTGAAGTCTTCAAAATAAAGGTAATAGATTATATATAATCCCTGTTATAATGTCCCGCCTGTTTCTCTTGTGGGTAAGATACATAACAACAAACTACTACCGCCTAGAGTTATTATATTATGCACGCTCCAAATCTTTACAGAAACAGCACGGTCAGTACCGGACTCTACCGAAAACAACGAATTAAAAGAATGCAATGGCGAGCGATGTGGGCGAGGAAAATGTATCAATTTGCAACAAGTCTGTGACGGTATAAGCCATTGTGAAGATGGAAAGGACGAAGACGAAGCAGCCTGTGAAAAGAAAAATAGACTTTGCACTAGAGAACCTTACAATGGTGGATGTGGTAAGCATTTTTGTTTCAGTCTCTTACACTCAACAGATATAAGTAAAATTTGTTTTTATTGAATATCATGATGTATTTATTACCATGATATCCATAATTTTTTTTTTGTAAATATAGTTTACTGCTGCCCTTTCCCAATGTGCGCCATTTCGCCCGGTCCTCGATCGTCACTCCATCTGGCCAGAGGGCCTACACTATGTTTGCCCACCCGTGGTCTCCACTCAAGAACTCGTTTCCCCCATTGGTTATGGGTTCTTCGGCAGATATGGCCAGTCCACTGCCATTTCAGCTTTGAAGAAAGACTGAGAAAAGCCCGTTTGAACCCCATCCAAAGATCCACAACAAGCACACTGCTGGCTCGATCCATAGCTTACTTGGTAAGAGCGGTAGTCACGTTGAGGCGACAGACACTGGTTCAAGTCCAATAAAATCGAAGTATTTTTTTCTTTGTGCTAGTTCAATCTTTGTATCTATAATAATAATAAACATAAGTAGACGTAGTGTGAATCTCCTTTCCACTTGATAATGTTTCGATGGGCGCAAAATGGCTGAAAGCACCCGGATGCGTAAAACTGAAGACCGGGCTGTATTGCGCGCCTTTGGGATAGATATGCCAACGGATTGCAGTGGGCAACAGCGGAGTGATCATGATATTTACTTTTTTTTGTAATAACTAAGTTGAGCGGACGAACTAGTCGTGCGTATCATGGATAGCGGTACGTGTATCCATGACAGTTGAAAGATCACTCAGAGCTTTAATCATAAAGACCTGATGGGCAGCCACTGCGCCTGACACCCTGAGATACAAATAATTTGTCACATCTGCCTGTAATTTCACCAGTACCCTTCGAAACCGGAACGCAGTAATGCTCTCACTACTGCTTGGCGGCAGAAATAAGTAAAATGGCAGTACTTCCCTGGACGAACTTTTTCACAAGCAGCTCTACTGCTACTAAGTCATCGTCCCTTTCATGTTGGATTGTTCTTGTCTATTTGCTGTAGCAAAGCCTAGCATATTTTCTTGTCTTAGGAACAAATATAGAGTCCCTAGAACAGTTAATATTTATGAGAGCCTCATAAAATACGTTCTTGTGAGTAGTACTTAAATTTACAAGGATTAAGATGGGATTCTGAGCACAGCGTCTTCGGCCACTCTGCGACCGAGCGTCAATAAGTTGTACTACACAAAATGTACGGGAATGTATTCGAATACAGTTACACTAACTAACAACTGTTCTGCGGCGTTATTGATGCAGATAACGCCACAACTGTATCGCTGTGCTCGAAACTCCACCTTAAGGAATACGGTTGCTACGCTATAGTAACATAAATTATTTTTTACGTCGGCTTTGACATACTAGGCCGTTTTTTGCAAACAGAAAATTAAATTCTCTCGTGTCTATCACATCCAGATTGATCTACAGTCGCATTGAATGTCAGTACTTGTACATAACGAAATGCGACACTGTAATTGAATTTAGAGCTATTCGAATAATCACATTTGAATGTCTTCAATTTTATATACACGGAAATAAAAAACAATGGAAGCTCCTTAAACCTCGATTACTATCAGAACCGTAACTATCATAACGGGAAACACTATGAAATTTTGATAATAATTGGTCATAATTTGTAATTTGAAAAGATGTAACAAATTTTGTACTAATTAAATTTTTATTGAATTGATATTCAATTATTTTTTGTGAAATTACTCCACTACTTTGTTATAATTATTAATACAAAGATCGAACACTCAGAAAAATTCCTTTGATCCGGTCGGATTCGAACCGACGTCTTCTTGCATACCGTGCCAGACGCTATACCAACTAAGCCACGGAACGTAAATGTATGTGTATAATCTGTATAAATATTTATCATGCTTATGGACACCCCGTGCTCTGTTTTTATTTTAATGTATAAATCGAGGATAACTGTTACTGGCTTTGTAATATGTAATTTAATTTTTTGTAACCTATCATTATTTGCTGTTGCTATTCCAAATAAATAAACAAATAATTTATTTTTTATATATTTATTTATTTATTTCAGGCCACATGACCCATATAATATATACCTTAAGGACTAACATACAATAGAATAATAAAAACACTATTTCTAACTAATCTACACGAATTGCACTTATCGGCGACGTGTGGTGCAATCTGGTGTCAGGTAACCGGCCGCGGAACCGCCGATATAAGACACCCTTCGGCCAAAATTCTTTCTTCATGAAGGTCGATAGATGTTCGGTCGGTACTCTCACCACAAACGAATCGAAACCGCACCAACCGCTCGACTCTCAGGGTGTGTTTGGCTTTGTGTCTGATATACTCCACTATCTCAGACTTCGTGGAGTAATGCACCTGTGTACAGCAGCGTCGTTGGTGTGGCCGGACGCAGCAGAAAGTTTGGTCCTGTCGGTATAATTTAAGCTTTACCCAGTTGGCTTATTGTTGAAAATACTACGTTTAATATTGCAAGTTATGACGTTTCGATGTTTTATGTTGAAATTTCATTCAATGTGCTAAAAACTAGTAGCAAAAGCTCCTAAAAAGTGTACCATATTGCATCGATAAGGCAATAACGTTTACTTCATTTCTTATAACAAAAAATAGCTAACTGAGCTATAATTTGCGGACCTCCGCTTGTTGTTGGCACATGTGTCACGTCCTCGAAGCACTTCTACAGTAGTTATTGTTCTGTGTTTATATACATGAGATATAACATCGATCCTAAATATATCCGGGTAGCAAACTTTCATGTCAAAATCGCAAGAAAATAGAAAAACATTTCAAAGAAGTGACTTTTGTTGATATTTGCCAATATCTACATTCCTAGGGGACATACGTTAGTTGAATATTTCATGCTATCATGAAAATTAACTACGTTTCGATGGAGAAAATGAACGTTGTGTATAAACGAAGTTATAACAACACGGAGTAGAATCTAATAAATTATGTAAGCTATTTCACGAGATCGAATAATTATGTATAAATTAAATACCTTCAACATAATTTCCAATGTGTACAATAGACGTGTACTCGATGAATTTTCTTAATTTACTGCTTAAAGTGCAATTTTCTCTGGAAATAATTCATAAATCAATGTGACTATGCTTCCTCAGTGTCCCAGATACGTCTATAAATGCCAAACACTTAGCAATGACGTACAGTGTCATTCATATTTATAAATCCCCCACATCAATCATTTTGAAGGATCCTTATCTCCATTTCAGCGTGTTCGTTCGGCCAGATGAAATGTCTCAATGGTAAATGCATAGCCAAAGAGCTATATAAAGATGGAAGGGATGATTGTGGAGACAACAGCGATGAGCCTCCGCAGATGACATGTGCTCAATATTTATCAAGAGTCGAACCTGGGAGAGTTTGCGATGGAATACTCCACTGCAAGGACAGGAGTGACGAGGACCCCACATACTGCAAATGCTTTGCAAAGAAGACCTTTTTGTGAGTAATTTATCTTTTCTAAATCAACGAATGAAATTAATGTAATACTCCGCAGTGCATGTATGGTGATTGCAGCAATCGCTACTTAAAACCTTCTCTTGCTAAAGAATTATATCTTCCAGACACCTTTATATTGAATTGGTCATTTATGCAATTTGATTACGAGGAAGGGCTCTTAATAAAATTACCTCTAATGAAACCACATCGTTACTCACTCGTAATAATCAAAATAGAAAATTAACAAGCAATTATAATAATCATTTTTATTAAAAGTCTAATTTCAACGTTTTAAATAAAAATAAAGTAAAAGTACATAAATGATTTCGTCTGTTTAAAGGTAAAACCACATAAGTAACATTTTCCACAAAAAGTCTTTAATTTATGTAGCTATTGTAAGAAAATCACTATCTTTCAGCACGTGTAACTAAATAACAAAAAAGCTACAAACTTAATAAGAGTTTTATCTGCAGAGAGGTCGTGAAGTTCTTATAACTGGTACATAATTTGGAGATTTTTTGTGGAAAATGTCACTTATGTGGGTTTTACCTTTAAACAGACGATTTAAACAGTTACCCCTGCCAGCGCGATTTCTTGAATCGAATAAAAATGAAAGTTAAATATTTTAACACGAATACTATTAACTTCAAGTATATAAATGGATTGAACACAATGTGTTTAAATGCTGCATAATAAATTACATTATTGCAAGAATACTGATATTTCGTGGGAGGTATTCAATTTAGCTGGTAGCGGAGCGCGTGGGCGTTGTGCTTGGCAATCGGTACGTAGGCGTTTTGTGACCGATTCGTGTGAAAGAACCTTTTTTTGATGGTTATTTAGTACTTGGAAAAGCAAAAAGTAATTTAGGTAATGTGTTTGCTCTGATATTAAAACACAAGCATTTTTCTAGTAGTAATCGTATAGTTTTGTGTAAACAATGGTGTCCCAGTTGTATTAAGCACATTACTTCGTAATCTTTCGGGACCATATTTTTACGGAAAAAAAATTGAGTTATTTTATTTAATGATATAACGTTCATAATAGTTCTTAGAAAAATTCTTCATATGGCAAAACACTTCATTTTAGGGGGCACCGTGTCTAGCACGGGAAAATGCATAACAAAATTTATTGTATAGTTTATCAGTTTCTAGTAAAAACATCATAAATTATTTACAAGCATTTGTAGAGCTAAGCGAATTTGAAAATGTAGGCCAATCTGACCCTCAATTTCATTAATATGTTATTATTCTTCGTCAAACATTGCCGTCAGAATCCCCAAGTGAAGGCGTTGTAATGAACTGGATTCGGCAAGGAAGTACACTCAATAGCAACATAACAGCGGCTAAAAGTTGGCGATGACTGGTGAAATTGTCGTAGATTAATACACTATAAAAACTACATAACAAAACTTTACGCACAAAATACTGGAAAACTAATAACTTGGTACATTAATTAAGCACTACTAAACAAGTTCGTAGCAGTAGAGCTCCTTAAAGACTTTGTCCAGGGAAGTATTGCCACCTAACCTATTTCTGCCGCCAAACAATAATGTGAACGTTACTGCGTTCCAGTTTTGAAGGGTTAGGGTGCTGGTGAAATTACAAGCAAATGGACTTGTCAACTTATGTCTCAGGGTAGCAGTGCCACTCAGATTTTCTGATTTAAAGTTCTGAGTGGCATGGCAACTGCTATGGACCTGTTCATCCCGTCACTTGGTATCATAAAAAAAGACAGAAATGTACTTCTGCAACTAATAGTATTCGTAATTTTCGCTAAGCTGTTTGGATATTTCAAAATAAAGAAAACCATAGGTCAAAACACAGCTCTGTTTCGCTTCGTTTTGGTAGATATCACGCTTATTACTAAGCAGCAGTGACTTGCACACCGATTTTTATGGGCGTCCGTCTCTAAGGTCACGGGTTCGATACCCGGCCGGGTCAATGTAAAAAACTAACCTTGCTATATCGTCTCGGATCTAAGTGTTTGTGGTACCATCGTTTTTTTCCGATTACCATAACACAAGTACTTTAGTAGTACTTACTTTGGGATCAGAGTCACGTATATGATGTTGTCAAATATTTATTTATTGTTTACTAGATCTTAACGTTACCAATTTGAAGCATATGATAGGGTCCTGCGTAATATACTATTAGGTAAACTATACGGGATAGGTATTCGGGGCTCTGCTCACTCCTGGTTTGCTTCATATTTAAAGGATAGGCAGCAATTTGTTGAGATCGAATACTTTGATACCACTACTAAAAATATTTCTTGCGTGCGCTCCGATTGTAAAAAAGTAAATGCATTGATTCCTCAAGGAAGTGTTGTTGGATGTCTTTTATTTTTGATATACATCAATGACCTTCCTACGGCTATAGGCGAAACCTGTGTATTGTTTGCTGATGATGTATCTTTGCTTACATCATGTCAAAACGACACTGATATATATGACAAACTTCATGTCCTTCTGACTAAAACTACAGACAGGTTAAATGATCATAATCTCAAAATTAATTTCTCTAAATCTGAAATAATGTCCTTCCATCCCCACCAAAAAACTTCATTAAACTTAAAAATCGATTACAATGGTACAATTTTAGAATCAGTTAAGGAATTTAGATTGATAGATAGATAGATAGATAGATAAAAGCTTTATTCACCACCATGACATCAGATACATGATATAGGCATTAACTTATATGTATATAACAATAATGATATTCTTATCTACTAATATTACACTTGGAAGTCATGGCAGTGAAAAAGGCGCTGGCTCAGCATAAATGACGCGGCTGCCCGCGACGCTGGTATTCTGCCAGGACCCTATAGGATAGAGACGCCACTCGCAATCCAACAAAAATCTGATTTAATTTTTAAATTATTAATTTTCAATCTTCTTCCTCCCAACCTCCACACATAATACACTATTTGCAGTCCTGAAACGAGGTACAGCCAAGAGCATAACAAGGCTAACCTTGGACCTTGGACCGTTCCTATCGCAAGCGGCACAGAGTTGAAATTAAATCTCAAATCTTAAATGTCAAGCATGACGCGCTCCCGACCCTGTACGTGGACAAACAAGAGACAACCGCAAATACCCTAGCCACTCATATCCCCAATTTTTGCAAATTTAACAGATGCTCCCGCAGCTTTAGCTTGCTCGATTTAAATATAGACACCCACTTAAATTGGAAATCGCACATTCATAGAGTAAAGTCTAAGTTAGCAGGATTTTCATACGCACTGCGCGCAGTGAAAAAGACAACAAACATAGAGACGGCAATAACAACCTACTATGCCTACGCGCACGCTTGGCTCAGGTACGGCATCATTCTGTGGGGTAACAGCACGGATGCAGCCTCTCTATTCACCCTTCAAAAGAAGTTAATTAGAATAATAGCCACTATTGACCAGACTGATAGCTGTAGACCATAGTTTCTTAAATATAAAATATTAACCCTGCCCAGTTTATATATTTTGGAAATAAGTAAATTTGTCAGGAAAAATAAACAATTTTATAAAAAACGAGAAGATATCCCATGTAAGTACGCTTTACGACTAAAAATATAAATTAGTATTGCCGACTTCACGATTAAAAATTAACTCCTCTAGTACCTACAGTTCTTCTATTAAAATTTATAATAAACTACCTGAAAATATAAAAAATGAAAACAATGACAACATTTTCATAAAAAAATTAAAACTATTTCTATCCGAAAAATGTTATTACACTATTAACGAATATTTAATAGATAATATATTCAGAGGCCACGCAAAATGATGATAAATATTAAGGTTGTTTTTAAATTAAATTTTATAACAATATAATATAAGTATATAGTACCTATGATAAATAAGAATAGAAATACTATTATAAAATTGCGCTTCCTCTCTCCTAGCTCCTATGTTGCGTGCCCGACAGGGCCCATAATACTGGTCTCACTACATTTGTAACATCTTATTATGTACATTATGGTTTTGCAATACATTATTGAATTGAATTGAATTTACTAATCAAGCAGGCGTCGCTAAGGTATTACAAAGTAGTGGAACCTTCCAAAAGGTGACCTAGGTTCTATCCGTAGACTTTAATGAAAAATTGTTAAATGTTGTTGACCTGTCGGTAAAACATTTTCTCCTACATATGTACGTGTATGATAAATAAGATTTTATGCGTGTGTACCTTATTTGTAGAACATGCATAGGCAATAACTCGCTATTCATAACATTATCTTAATTATTTTCCTCCTATGCTTTCCTATTATGCTGCTAATCCTGGATAAAGTGGTGTAATAACGCCATATAGTAGCCACTAAGACGTGACTGAACATTAAGTAAAGTCTGCAAAGTGACAACTTTTCGATAGTGGTATGCATTGACTTACAAATGTATGTCAAAATTGTAGGAACGAAAGTAATGCATAGGTAACTTTTTATGTTTAAATATGAGAGTTATCAAATTTCACATACTTATACATAATTCATGTATTTCGTATTATTTTTATGACTTTCATGTACCAAAAATACTTTTGACGTATGATTGCAATAACATATGTTGCTTTATTATAAGCCAGGGTACGAATTGTAGCTACATATCATGACGGCCATAAATTATGTATATTTTTGACAGATTTTCAAATATGGAACAGGATTTGAGAACGTCGAATATATAATCAGAAATAGAGACGAAATGTCATTTTTAGAAAACTATTTTCCAAATCATTTCGGTGACAACTACGCTCCGATTGGCCAGCCCGAATTCGAAACAATTGACGGGTGTCGTCAAATTTTTCATTTCAAATCGACTAGCTTAACTTGAGCTTTGGAGGAAAATTGCAAAATTACATAATATTTAATATTTAATTACCGATGAAATGTGATTCCGTTTGTTTTGTAATTAGATGTTTTGCTATTTTTCCCACACCACCAAATGAAACAGCCCCCATTGTTAGATCTCCGTATATTCCAAAAAATATTCTGTATTTATTGTAATAAAGATAATATCTCTAACAATGCCGCGCTGTTCTATTCGGTGGTGTGGGAAAAACAGCAAAATATCTCATTACAAAACAAACGGAATCACATTTCATCGGTAATTAAATATTGAATATGTAATATTGCAATTTTCGTCCATTATAGCAAAGCTCAAGTTAACTGGTCGATTTGAAGTAAAACAGTTGACGACACCCATTGACGACACCCGTCAATTGTTTCGAACTCGGGCTAGCCAATCGGAGCGCGGCTAGCCAATCGGAGCGCAGTTGTCCCAGTAATGATATGGCAGAATAGTTTTCAAACATATTAAATGACACTTCGTCTCTATTTCTGGTTATATACTCGATGTTGACGCTGTACTATTTCAGTTTTCTTATTTGTGATTTCAGCGCAAACGAGAGTTGATATTTAAAAGTGATATAAGGCCCATTTGCCTGATGAGTTGCCAGTGATGCCCCTTATTTCGTCTCTATTTCTGGTTATATACTCGATGTTTGAGAACAATATCCTTACTCATTGTTATCTGCTCCACTAGTATTTTCAGGCGTTCACTTTGATTTGAGGGAAATGTCTAGTGGAGGAGGATAGTGGCGAATAGTAGATATTCACAAAAAAAGATGCCGAATCGAAATCTATCATCGGAAAGTCGGTTACACAATAGTATACGTATATGAATTAGAGCCATACCATAAATACAAAAATAACCAACGAAAATACCGAAAATTACACTCAATGACTGAAAAGTTGTGCTCCTGTTGGTAAGCGACACGCCTGTCCATAATAGTAGCAGCGTCGCTCAGATTTTAAATTGCAAAGATCTGTAGGGCCCTACACCCGCTCTGAGACATAATTTCACAAGTCCCATGTGCTTGTAATTTCACCAGAACCTTTTCCCAAGGTGCTCTACTGCTATTATAATGAATGATCCGTGTGGTTACGAAGTATCAATAAATTTAATACGCCAGTCGGACCACGCGCTCTATTCATAATAAAGACAATGCCGACATTGAAATAGAACGAAGAGCTCCTACGGTATGAGGTGATATGCTGATCCGTGGTTTTCCCATTGTACAGAAGAAGTGGCTGGTAGGCTTACCTCTCCCATATGGCAGTGTTTCGTGAGAAAGGTGATTTGACTGATAAAAAATAAAATATCTACTAGCACTAATTTATAAGTTCTTTTCCTATTATTGCTAATAGATTATGAAACTTGTTGTCTGAACTAAAAGAATTTTATTTATTTATAACTCTAAATCATATCTTATGCTGGTGCCGTCAAGGACCAGCAAATATAATTTTATACAAACACAGCAACAGAGAAATCTGATCGCCAGAGTTCAGATTTCTCATAAATGAAATGACTATATATCTCAAGTTTAAAAATTCCAACAACACGAAACAACAATCGTTTGAGCTATTAAGCTCAAAGCCCCGTCAAGTGTAAAGGTATTAACCATTACACTTGACGGGGTTATTACTATCAAAATGAAAAGAAAATTTTCATGAACTTTCCAAATAGAAATTAACACGATGGAAATAATTTTAGAAATATTATTACATTTGCCAAACCTCAGTTTGTATTTCGGTATTTTGGCTACCTACTTAACCTGAAAAATCATTCTTAAGTAAGCAACACAAATGATACATCATTTGTGTTGCTTACTTTTATATTCTCTATTGGCTCCCCGCGGGGCGATGGAGGCTTTTAGTTGATTCACGGAAGAAGAAAAAACAATGGAAGTACCTTAAGCCTCGATTGCTGTCATAACCGCTGTCACCAAAACTTGTACATTCATAGTAAGAAAAACTATGAAATCTGGATTATGATTGCTCATAGTTCCTAATTTAAAAAGAAATAGCAAATTCTAGACTGTTAATGTAATCAAAATTTTACCCTGTTGGTAAAAATTCAATACTTACATTACGAAGTTTTGATTTTATATTGAAATTTCAATCATTGTGCTGCCATGTAGAGGTTAACAGCTGAACGAAGATGAATCCGAGAAGTTAACGTAGTTATCCAAAAAAGAAGCGACCATATTGCAGCGATATAAGGCTTATTTTCGTTTCTTGTAACAGAAAAAATATTGCGATAAACAATATAGAAAAGTTAGTTCTCTGCTCTGACCCGGCAGGGGAACGAAATCGGGACCTCAGAGAGGACACTGTGAAAACCACCACGACCACGGAGTCAGACCATGACTATATAAGTTAAATGTTTATTTGCCTATCGTATTACGTACTTTAGTACTTAAACAATCATATAATTCATCATTGGAAATGAACTAACTTATTGGGTATATGTGTATAGGACGCAAAAATGTTTTTTGAAGATTTTATGAAACACCGTCTTTTCCATCAAGACTAAATCGCAACCTGCGTTTACCATAATAATAAAAATAATAATGCACACACTCAACATAGCCCAGCACTAGGGAAACCCGTGTCGCGGGTGCCATGGACACACACATAGACAACCATAAATTACACCCAAACTCATGAGAGAAATAAATGTAGGCCATACAAATATTTCTCACGGCCCGGGAATCGAACCTGGGACCCCTGCGTGGCAGTTCGACATGCTAACTGTTCGGTCACGGAGGCACTTATAAAAATGATACATGTTTTTTTTTCAACCCGTTTAAAATATTGACATGTTCTTTTAGCACCTTTATAGTAGGGTTAGGATAAGTATTTCTCTTAAGATGGGATGACACTTTAGGAACATTACAACATCATTTTCTTTTCTTAAATTTATAGAATTCTCTCGGTTTTTATTCTCACTCCTTTACTGTTACTGTCTGACATGCGGTCAGACTTTGGAACGCACTTCCCATTACTGTTCATAATAGTAAATTCTTAGCTATTTTTAAAATTATAGTCAAGGCGCACTATTTATCCACTGTTCCATACGTTTTATAGATAGTATAATATATAAATACGTATTTATCTAAGTATTTATATAGTGTGTAGTAATTTAATATTTTTGCTATTGTTTTTTATTATGATTTTATTACATAATTTAATTTTGTTTTGTTGTGTATGTAAACCCGATATTGTAATTATTTTGTCCTGTGTTTTGGTCTGCAGGAAGAAATTTCTTTTAGAAACAAGCAGTACCTTTTGTTTGTGTTTTCCGTTTTACTAAATTTGATTTGTGTTCTCCTGTACAATTTATTATTAAATAAATAATTCCGTTACTATGCCAAATAAGTATCATTTTGTACTATCTCAAAACAATTGTTCGTCTGATGAAAATACCGGTTCGGACTTCCAAACTTCATTATTTTACGTAATCTCGAAAGTGTACTGTTTCAGAAACTAAATTGTTGTTTGGGTAATTTGGCTAAGGCTGGGGGCAGTTTGAATATCTTTAGAAGTAACACAAGAAGAAGTCAATTTAGCACTGCCAGTAATTGATGTGCAATTGTCTAGCCGATTTATTGCATTATTATTTCCAGTACATTATTGTATGTACCGTGTAGAGTCAATCTTGCACTAGGCAAAAGAGACTACTAAAATTTACAAAAAAAATGTTGTTAGGTTAAGGCATTACACTTGATATCTTCTAAAGCTGAATCTATTGTCTACAGCTGCAACAAAGGATACAAAAACGTAGATCACTGTGTAGCCGAGGACATGGTATGTGATGGGAATAGAGACTGTCCTAACGGAGAAGATGAACAGTTCTGCATTGGTCTTGGTGCTCCTCATGGATACGGGTAAGTTTAAAGATTTTTATTTACTATACCATATTGATGTTATGCAAATATCGAGTTGTGTAAGAACGTTATGAGAATAGATACCATCCTTCTAATTCTACCCCTCCTGTGAGACAAGGGCATGAGCTTATGTTTGTATGCTTATATATGTATGTGTACTATTCTATTGTTATTATCTTTTCACATTATTTTCTATGCTGTAAAAAACATTCTGTCTAATATTTTTTTTATGATTTTATGAAAACAATTTTTTTATATATTATCAAGTGACGGGACGAACAAGCTCATGCGCCTGATGGTAAGCGACATGCCTGCCCATAACAGTTGGAGTGCCACTCAGAGCTTTAAATCGCAAAAATCTTCCTGAGACATAAGTTGACAAGTCTCAAGTGCCTGTAATTTCATTAGCAAATTTTATTTAAATAAATGTAAAATTGAGGTAGCCTTAGGTATTGATGAAAAATCATCTTGTTCAATTAATGGCATTGGTTGATTATAATCATTGACGAGATTCTCTCCTTTATATATAAGTAGGAATAGAGCTCCTTGTGAAAGAGTTCATCAAGGGAAGTTCTGCCACCTTTCCTATTTCTGCCGCCAAGCAGTAACATGAGCATTACAGCGCTCCGGTTTAGAAGGGTAAGGGTGCTGGTGAAATTATGCACATGGGTCTTGTCAACTTAGGTCTGAATGGAATCTATCCAGAGCTTTAAATTACAGTAGCACAATTGCAGTGGCAAACTGCCTCCGTAACCGAAAGGTTACCATACCGGACTGCCACGCAGAGGTTCCAGGTCCGATTCCCGGGTCGGGAGAAATATTTGTATGGCCTACATTTATTTCTCCCGTGAGTTTGGATGTAATTTGTGGTTGTCTATGTGTTTGTCCATGTGTTTGTCCATGGCACCCGCGTCACAGGGTTTCCCTAGTACGGGGCTATGTTGAGAGTGTGTGTGTGTGCGTGTGTGTGTGTGTGTGTGTGTGTGTGTGTGTGTGTGTGTGTGTGTG